TCCACTGCCCTGACAGGCTGGGCCCAGAAAAGGAACTGAGCTGACACCCCAGCTGTGAGTTGCTGCATCAGTGCATAAGCTATTATGGGGCCTTTTGCTTAGCTCTTACCTGGCCCTGCAAAGCCACCTTTCTCCCTGACATGGATCTCAAGCCTAGGAGCACAAGGCTCACAGAGCCGCAGCCCACACAGCACCACACCCTGCCAAGACCCAGAAGATGCCGACTCCCCCCCCCAACCCTCCCACTTCCAGCCCACACATGGGTGTCACCTTGGTTCTGCTCATCTTGTAAAGTTCTAATGAATAGAAATTAGTAGCTGCTGAGTGACAGCCCCCTCTTGGCTCTCCTGCCTCCCCCAGCTCTTCTCCCTGTGGGGAGGGAGATCTAGCAGCAAGGCCCTTTATGCCCACACCCCCGCCATGGAAGAAAGGCAGAGCCTGACTCATTGGAATCCCATTGTTACCAGTTTCCCTGGTGGGTGGTGACATTTTGGATCACCCTAGTTATGTGAAGCTGTTTTCAGTATGGTGCCCTCCCAGGGCAAGCTTGCTGCTACCCAGGAGGTATGACCCCGAGCTCAGCCCCCTGGCGCATGGGCATTTATTTTCTGGATGCATGAACTAACACACTTGTCGCATGCTTGTGCTGTGGAGCTGCTGGACATATTTGCTGATTTTGGATGGTTTATACCAGAGGGACCAGTTTTAAGGTTCCTTTAAGGAATGGAACCAGCGGAAGGGTGATAATATAGGCTAGGGGAAGTAGAACTTGAACTCATTCCTCAGGCCTAAGCTGCCCTGAAACCAAGCTCGGAGGCTCAGCCCTGCTCTGTTGCTTCCTTCACATGTCATACGGTTGCTGGGTCCTCTATGAAAGTCAGGAGGTATCTCGATTGTACTAGACAGCCATTGTCAGCTCCACAGTGAGAAAAGACCAGAGTCAAAATATTTGGTCTACCATCTCAGCCTCTTATGAACATCTCTGCTAGGTCCCCAGGGCAGTAAGCAGTAGATGGACCCAGGGGAGAAAGTAAAGCAGGGGCCAGGCCCTTCTACACACTGTGCCTTACCCCAGAGGGGCACATGGGCCTAGCTATGTAATTGGCAGACTCCAGATCCCAGTGCCCTCAACCCACCATTACCCTTGACCTCACAGCCAGCAAGAACAAAAAGACAGACTGTTTCTTCTACAACCATGAACACAATTCTTCTAGTTCACTGAGAAAGAAGGAGAAATCCTGAAACCCCACACACCACCATCTCGAAGGAGGATTGGATTCACTGCTGGTAGAGTGGTACCAAGCCAGAGCCTAACCACCAACACGGAGCCAGAGAGAGAAGACCTGGGGAGGGAGGACCTTGCTGGCATGCAGCATCAACTGGCTTTGGGGTGGATAATCTGTGAAGGGTGGGGGCAGGGGACAGAGCAGTCATTTAGCTTCCCATCTGGTCATGAAGACCAGCAAGCATTCGGAACACGAATGAACGAACGCAGCATCCATAGCAAAGTCAAGGGGAGGGTGGCGGGAGCTGCCATCCTGGGCTCTCCCAGCGGGAATTAGCTTATGTACTAAATTGTTTGTGACAGTGCTGAGCAGGAGACACTGGCTCGTGGGGAGGAAAGCTTTTTAAACAATTTGGTTAAAATGTTCAAATTGCCAGCCCTGACTCTTGCCCTGGGGAGGAGGCTAGCTGCCTGCTGTTGGCTTTGTGATGGCAGTGGCAGTGGACGTCACTAAGGAGACTGGCTAATTTAGAGCACCCAAGCTACAAGCAAGGGGGATCTTGGAGATGCACAGCCCAGGGGGAGAGAGACATGGAGTTTACCACCTCCCTGGCTGTCTCTGCTGCTTCCCAGCATCTTGGCAGAAAAGGATGGAAACCTGGCTGGCTTTCATCTAGGTGTCTGCCTGGAAGGCACAAGAGTATGGTGATGGGGGCTAGACCCCCCACTTTGAGAAGAGGTGGGGAATGGAGAGGAGCACAGGGCCTTGAAGCAGTTCTTACAGGGTCCAGGGCTCTCCAGCAGTACCTCATTTGCATCTGGATCCCAGCCCTGGCATCTGCCTAGGCCCTTCTGCCCATAAAATAACCCCACTATCTTTCCACAAAGTTAGGCATTCCTTTGCCTAACAGCAGAACTTTAGCACTGGGTACCCAGAAATTCTGTGTAAAAACTGAGAACCAAACCGGGTTCTAATCGCTCCCACTAATTTAGAATTCCAACAACCCCAAAGCTAAAATAACCCCAATTTTTTTGTCTATGTTGCAAAGTCATCATTGAGCTTTATAACTGTGTCCTGGAGACCCCAGAGTCCTTAAGTGCCTTTGGCCTATCAAAGTAAGACTCATTTATGTTCAGTCTAGTTTATAATAAATGTGTTTTGTACTATTCTGATTCCTTTAAAAATGGTAATTCATTCATGAGAAATACGATAACTATTAACCAGATTGTCCATTCCTGAACCTTTTTGCATAATTGAACATGTATTCTATCAGGCTCTTCCTTCCCTCCCAGGACAGAGAGAGAAAAAGACATGTCTTTACACACCCCTTTGGGCACTTGCCCAGACCAGCAGGACAATTCGGGTTTGGCCTTGTTTTCCTCTCTCGTCATTCAATCTAGCTGCAGAATGGAGTCTTCCAAAGTCTTTGAGGTTTCAGAGTCCCAAGTTCAAGTTTACATACTGGCTGTGTGACCTTGAACAAGGTGTTTTGAGTAAGACTCTGTCTCAAAAAAAAAAAAGATAGCACACACATGGTGCCTAGGCCTATGTCTCATACACAGTACTCAGTGATCAAATCCTTTCCTCTGGATTTCTTGCTGACACCTTGGAAAAAGCTCAGAAAGTAGTTCTTTCTTACGGAATCCTGTTTTCTTCTCTTTTGGGTTGGGAACAGAAATTTAATTTTTTATTTTTATTAATTTTTTTTTTTTTTTTTTGAGACTGAGCCTCACTGTGTCGCCCTCAGTAGAGTGCTCTGCCATCACAGCAACCTCAAACTCTTGGGCTTAAGCAATTCTCTTGCCTCAGCCTCCTGAGTAGCTGGGTCTACAGACACTTGCCACAAAGCCCAGCTATTTTTGTTTGCAGTTGTCATTGTTGTTTAGCAGGCCCAAGCCGGGCTCAAACCTGCCAACCTCGGTGTATGTGGCCAGCACCCTACTCACTGAGCTGTGGATAAAACTTTAAAAGTTCTAATAAACAAAAGGTCCCCCTCAGATTCTTAAATCAGAATTGTAGGCAGTAGGGATCACAAAATTCCTGTTTGCCTAAGGAGAAACTCTCTAGGACCTGGAAGCAGGGCTGTTGCTCCAAGGACCCGCTGAGTACAGGGCACTGGTAGGAGTGGAGCCACACTGAGCTGAATTTTCTCCAGTAGTGTTCAAATTATAGTGCACTTGAACTGGCAGAGGCAGAGGAGCCAAAAGGGGTAGAGGAAGGTGGCTCTAAGGCTTTGGGAAAGAAAAAAAGGAAGGTGGAGAAAGCTGGAAGAGGTCCCCTCTTCCCTACTCCATCCAGGGGCTGATGCTTTGAATCTTGGCAGAGGGATCGTTGGAGGCTTTCAGAGCTAGTGGCCTGATGCATGTCTTCTAGGGTTAGGCTATTGTACCAAAAAGGGGCTTTTCCCATTATGCCACCCTGAAACAGAGGTCTTGCCAGCCCCTATTTCCCCAGTCTCCATTCCTTGTGATGGGTAAGTGATAACACAGCCAAGGGTAGAAATTCTCTGGCTCGGTGCCTGTATCTCAGCAGCTAGGGTGCCAGCCACCAACACCAGAGCTGGCAGGTTTGAATCCAGCCCAGGCCTGCCAAACAACAATGACAACTACAACCAAAAAAAAAAAAATATATATATATATATACACACACACACATATCTGGGCATTGTGGCGGGCCCTGTAATCTCAGCTACTTGGGAGGCTGAGGCAAAAGAATCTCTTAAGCCCAAGAGTATGAGGTTGCTGTGAGCTGTGACATTATGGCACTCTACCTAGGGTAGACAGGTTGAGACTCTGTCTCAAAAAAAAAAAGAGAGGGAAGGTAGAAATTCTCACAAATCTTAAGAAAATCTGATTGTCCTAGCACTCTGGGAGGCTGAGGCGGGTAGATTGCCTGAGCTCAGGAGTTCAAGACCATCTCAAAAAAAAAAAAAAAAAACAGAAAAATCTGATTAGGGGAAAAGGTTACTGTCTGGGAGTATCCAGTGGGGAAAGCCCTCCTTTCAGGAGGAATCTTTATAGGAATAACTTCAGCCTAGAGGATATTAAGGAAATTAGGAAATAAAAAAGGAAATTAACAAATAAGTGGCTATTTAGGAATAACTTGCCTTACAACCTTAGACAGGTTGTAATCATGTAATCGCCAGACCTCCAGTCTCCAAGTCAGTGTGGTTCATGAACTGCCTGCATCAGAATCTTCTAAGGAGGGAGATAAAAGTACAGAACTCCCAGATTGTACCCAAAGGCTAACAAATCAGCATTTCTAAGAGGAAGGCCCAGGAGTGTGCAGCTGATTCTTATGCCCACTCAAGTCCAAGGCCCACTGCTTCCAGCACCGCTTTCCTAGGAGTCTTAAAATCTTCCAGAGTCAAAATGGTGTGCTCCTTTTCTTTACTACTTTGTGCATCTTTTAGGTAAGCCAGGGAAAGTTTTTATGCTTGGCTTTGGTGAGTGCTCTTGACAGGGTCTTTACAGAGCTTTGTGGGCCTCTCTCCAGAACCAAAGGCTTTGGAGTTGAAATATAGGAATGTCATTTGTCTGTAACCTATTCCTCTGTCCCCACAGTCCCACCAGCTACTGGAAGTCCCTTGCCCCTGATCGGTCAGATGATGAGCACGACCCTCTGGACAACACCTCCAGACCCCGATACTCCCACAGCTATCTGAGTGACAGTGATACAGAGGCCAAGCTGACGGAGACCAACGCATAGCCCAGGGGACTGGTTTGCAGCCCTCCCACCCACAGCCTGTGGCTGCCTTGGCGCCTCTCCCAGGAAATGGTGGGGTACTAATCTCCCCCACCCAACTGCTGATCTGCATGGGAAGCACCCCAACCCTCTCTGTCAGGGGGATTTTCCAGGCTGTGGGTCTCCAACATCTCCACACAGAAGAGGTGGCAGAAGAGGAGCTTCTGAAAAGAGAACTTTTTGCTCCTCCCTGCCTCAAAAATGCTACACTCTTGGCTTCTACCATGGGCCACTGTGGGCAGTGGCAGGTGGCCTGGCACTGCATGGAGCCAGCAAGCTGACCTCTAACTCAGCTCCCTGCTCAGGGACAGTGGACAGGTTGCCTACTGGGACACTCTAGGTTGCCAGGTCCTTGGGGAGGAGTTAGGGAGGGGGCAGCATTTCCTTCTCTCTGGTTTGGGGTGAGGGCTTTCTCTTCTCAGTGCCTGCTGTCTTTCTACTTTTTAATTTAAATACCCAACCGCTCCATCACAGCTGCAACCTCTGAGAGTAGGAGGTGCAGCTAGAGCCCCCTACCCCCCAATGGCTTGGGAAGCTCATCTCCATATTCACTCTTCAGAGAGCAGTCCTCTCTCTGCAGCTGGAGACACTGGTGAGCAGAGCTGGGTCCAGGTTCTTATGAGTAAGCGTGGGGAGGGGCCCTCGGGTGCTTCTGATTTGGGCGGAGCAGGCCTATACAGACAGGGGTGTATATCTACCTTCTGCAACTTCCAGGCCCCACCCACCTCCTCAGCGTGTTACGTGCAATGACCTATTTAAGAGTAAACCCATTCCACCTATGCCAATTCGGGGCTATCCAAGCACTGCCTCCCTTCCCTTCTATCCAAGTTGCCTGGATCATGAGCTCCACATGGGAGGGAAGGCGTTGGGTTGAGGGCTTGCGATCAGAAAGTCTGAAGATTGAAGTTTTGGTCCGTGCTGATGTGTATCACACACGAGTCCTTACCCTGTGTTCTGAGCCTGTGTCATTTTTCTTCTTTCAGTCTCCCTGCTCCCACACACTTATCCCAGACACGACAGTGCGGTGGTGGTGGTGGGTCTGAAGGCCCCAGCCCCACCCCAAAAGCTTATCCTGACAAGTCCACCATACTTTGGGGCCCAAGGGCAGTGCCTGGTGCTGCGCCCGTCTGCTGTCCCCCCTTTTTTCCTGCAATGGTTTGTACTCACTGGGCTGTGCTCTCCCCTCCCTGTTTACCTGATGTATGGAAATAAAGGCCCTTTTCTTCCTGGCTACACCAGTTTTCCTGCCTGTTCCTTCAGGCTCGGATAAAGTCCAGTGTGGTCCTGGAGGGAATGGTGGGATTCTGATGGGGACGTGGAGGTCTCTGGCCTGCTCTTGTTGGACCAGTGTCACTTAGAGGGACTTGGTAGGTCACTTGGGGCAGGCATGAGAGGGTTGATCAAGAAGGACAATCCTCACCTTCTATGTTAAGAGCCCATGGACTATGATACAGGTTGGCAGAGTAGTCCAAGCCTCATCCTCCCCTGGCCTCCAGGAGGGAATGTTGAGGTCTACCTAATAGTTAAACCTCACCAAGTACAGACAGACATTCTATCTTCTCTCCCTCTCTTTTTTTAGGTATTCAATCCCTTCTTATTTGAAAGTTGTTTTTGTTTTTTAAACTTCATTTTGGTCATTTCAAAGGTCACTTTTTGATCAAAACTTGGCAGAACACTCTCTGGCCTCCAATCTCTTTTGGCCACGAGACAACCTGAAGAGGTTGGGAGTTCTATCTTCATGTCCTAGCCCTTGCTTTGTCCCTTCACCGGCAGCTAAGGGGCAGCTCATGCAAAAAGGCAAGAAACAAAAGACCCTTCTCTAATGTGGCCAGTTATAATCCCTGCATGAATAAAGTGGTTTGGGCAGGTAGGTAGGAAAGGGTACCAGATAGCCCTAGTGCCAAGGCCCTGGTGATGTCAACCACCCACAGAAAGTCAAGAAAGGGAAGGAGGGAGAAAAATCACCTCCAAAATTAGTGGAAGAGAAGTATGAAATGGACCCATCTTGAAGGAAGAAGACTGCTCCCGTCACTGCCCCACAATAGAGCAGGTAGTAAAAGTGAGGTTACTTTTTTAACCACCAGCACCTGTTCAATTCTGTCACTCACATCTTTTGTTCCTGCTATCACAAAGCTCAAAATTTGTTTCTCCTAAAAACTAGTGTGACAAAGTCTCCTCCACCTACAGATGAGTTCTCAACTTTGCTCACCAATACCAAGTCAGGCCTCTGGTTAACCAAAAAGTCCAATATCAACCTCTAATGGCCTGGCCTAGGGTAAAGGGGGTTGTTTAAGTCATAAAATATCTATTTGCTTGTTAAGAAATATTTCATAACTGCTTACTGTGGTCTAGGCACCATTCTAGCTGCTGGGGGTAGATAAGATCTCTCCCTTCAAAAAGTGGATATTCCACTGGAGGAGGGAGACACACAAAATACATAATGCACCTTCTAGTGCACAAGCCCTGAGTGGGTAGAGAGGAATGAATCGTAGTGTTTGTGCTCCAGGGGATTGTGGACTTGGGCCAGAGCCAACCTATGTGAAAATCATTACACAGGACATAACAGAAGGACAAGATGGGGGCATATTATGAAAGGAGACTCTGTTTTTGAGGTAGGATTGGGATGGCTTCTGTAGAAGAATAAAGATAGGCCTTCTGCAGGTAGATATTGCTGGAGTAGACATGCTGGGGGGAGGAAGAGCTCCGACCAAGGTCCTGAGGCAGGGAAAGACTGGTGAAGAGCATGCTGCAGGCCATCTGGGGAAGCCGGAGGACAAAGCCTGAGATGACCAATGCTTCTCCAAGTTTCAGTGAAGCCCCTTGGCCAAGGTGGTGGGAAGGAGATAATTCCCTTGGCACTAACCCGAGAGGAGTCCAGGAGTCTTCAGGACCACCTAATTCTGTCTTCACTTTGGGTAAAAGCTGCATAAGCTCCAGCCCTCACCTGCACACTCATGGCAGCTCTGGTCCTTAAGAAGTGATTCATGCAAAACAGAAAGCAAATCTGTCCCTGTGCCAGGCTCAAAGCCAGCTTGCTGGATCCTTCTGTCTAATCAAAGACCCTCAGGATTGCTTGGGCTCCTGAATAAGAGAGAACCAAAGTCCTGTGGAACTCCCCATGGTGCCTAGTCCGTGCCCAGAGACTACAGCAGCAGGCAGTGACCTCAAAACTGCCTCCTTTTGTCCTTGGGTCCCCTTGGCAGATTATCTCAGTTGTCCTTTCCCCATCCCCCGCCCCCACGCCTGGTGGCACAGACACTTAGCGATTTGCTCCTTAATTGTCCCCCAGCTAGGCTTCGCAGATGCCGCTCTTTAATCTCTCCTGATAAATGAATCGCGCCGCTCCTTTAATCATATGTTCATATCCAAGCCAATCTGAATCAATTTGGCAGGGAGCGTGTTGCAAGAGATGCCATGACTGCTGTTTCTCCCCCCAGGGCCCTGGAGCCAGAGCGACTTTTGTCCTCACCCTCCGCAAAGAGCCCAAGATGCCCATTCAAGGAAAGGATCTCCTACCTGAATGGTGGGGACTTTTCAAAGTCATCTCATTCATTCTTGTCCTCCAAGCAGGCCATGTGGGACTGGAGGGAGACGGATTCCCAAAGGCCTCAGAAACGGAAGGGAGGGGGGTGAGTCCATAGCCTTCCTTGGTCACTGAATAAAGGGCTCAGTAATAATCTCTGGGGAAAAGTGCTGCCTTAAATCTAACCCTAATCCTTTCTGTCCCCCATTCATTTCCTCTGAGCTGGTTCTCAGGGAAGCTGGAACACTTCATCACCTTTTATATAGCAACACATTCCAGACAAGTCTATGATAATTTGTCCTTGCCTGCTACTGCTGCTGGCATTCACTCCAACTCCTTTCATCTTCCCCTACGACATATTTTCTAAAACCTCCAGCCTGGTGGGCAGTCTGGGACAGCTTGGTAATGTACCAAGATCTGCCATATGTGGGGACTGCTCCCTTTTCACCTCTAGAATGGTGCCCACGTGCAGTAGTAAAAACAAAGCAAAATAGACAAAACCTGCTAAACTGAGCGTTTATTCTGCTGCTAGCACTGCGACCTTGCAGAAAGGACTTAACCTCTCAAGCCTAAGGTGGTATTGCTGGCAAGAACATTTTGGCTCCCAAATTCAGAGCTCCTTACTGAAGCCAACAGAATCTCCCATCCCCAATCCTTTATTGTACCCACCCCCATCGACCCCCAACCCCCGTGAGAGCCAGAGGGCTGTGAAATCTGGTACCATGGGGGAATATCATCTCCCCGGGTCTCTCTGGGGTTAGTTTTGGTCTAGCTGACCCGTCAAGCCTCAGCGTCCAGTTTCATGTCCTCTCTTTCCCTGGCTCTGCCAGTCCCGGCAGGTGCCCAGCCATTCACTGGACAACTGAGATGTCCTTAACATAGTCATATATCATTTGCACGCCCACAGCTTCAAGCGTGCACAATCCCATGACTCCGCCCCCCGCCTAGAGGGTCTTCTCTTATTTCTCATAGGCCCCGCCCCTTAAAAGAGAAAGGTTAGCCCTGTCCTTGGGTTTTTGGGCAGCTGCTGGGACGCACTTACCGGCGTTGCCCTTTTAATGATTACAGTAGATCGAGGACCCAGCTACTCTCTGTAAACACTGTTTCTTGCCCTTTGAAGGGCTCTTTGAAGTCCGTAGCGATTGAGGCTGAGGGGTCCCCTCCCAAGCTGTCAGTAGAGATCTGTAAGATGAAGAGGATGGTAATACCAATAATAGTTCTTATTTGTTAAGCACTTTGTCTACAAAATCTCATTTAACCCCATCACAACTCTGTGAAATGTCATTGTCTTTTTAAAGAAACTGAGGCTGAGAAGTGATGTCATCTTGCCAAGCAGGGTCCTCAGCTTCGTTCCATCAGCTGGCCAGGCATTTGGAAACTATTCTGACCTTGCCAGAGGATGAAGAGAAGGCTGGAAAGCGAAGAATTGCTGTCACGGTCCTCATCTCAAATTGCTGCGTGTTTGGTATTCACCAAAACTTGGCCTTAAGAAGGAAACACTTCTTGGCAATTTGAGGGGAAAAAAAATACCTACCTCACATTTGTGTAGCTCTTTACAATTTTCAGAGCAGCCCCCACACATTACCACATTTGCACTTTACTCCCACTGTGCCAACAATATGAATAACAGTTCCACATAGCCCAGAATGCTATTTCAAGCTATATTCACTTCAGTCTAATTTCATTACAGTACAACAGAGCAATCCAGACCATTCTCTGAGATTTGATCTGGGAGGAGAGATTTCCAGAGCAATAGCCATTTTGGAGTTAACAAGGATGCTAGATTTGCTTAGAAGGAATTTTAGAGAGAAATTGAGTCTTCTGTAGTGTAAGCCCCAGTGATGGGTCATATACATAAGGGAGATTCCAGAAAGGATGTGTGCTTTGCGCTTGAAGTCAGTGACATAAATTTCCCAGTCGAATACTTAGATGTGCAGATAGAATTTGCTGTAGATATCAAAAGTCAGCTATGACAGTTTTACCAAAAAAAAAAAAAGAGAGAAAAATTCAAAAAGGATATTACGTTTTGACACCATCCAGGCAAATTATATTTGAGGTGGCTTAAGAGTCAAAGATTTTCCACATTTTAATACATTTTTATATGTTTTGTGGTATATCTATGATCTGACTAGATTAGGAAAAGCCGCAAATGGATTTAGGGAAGAGAGGACACTAAGGAATTTGAAAGTGGAGAATTTTTAAAAAGTCAAAAAAAAAAAGGAAAAAGATCCCTATATGAAGAAGATGCAGCCAATAGCTTCAGAAATATTAGGTCTTTGAAAGGTCAGTGATGAGTAGCCAGTCAAATATAAACTTGTATGTGATAAAAGAGGTCTCTTGGCTCATTGTAGCCCTGGGGCCTGAAGTCAATTGCATGTTGGCACCTTTGCTTTAGGAGATTACTGTCCTATGGAGAGCCAGGGAGAGTGACCCTGGTGAATGGCACCCCATGGAATGTTCTACACCGCAAACACAAGTTGCATGTCCCTCTGTGGGTCCTAGAACTCATCCGTGGGGGGCTGTTCTTTCTGGTGGATATTCCCAGCCACTGGACAGGATTTAATAGTAAAATTTTCCCAGGAACTGGCAAAATAAGACTAGAGAACCAACTAGAAATTGAGGCAGTCTCACAGCTCTGTTAACGGGTTCTTTTTTTTTAGACGGAGCCTCAAGCTATCCCTCTGGGTAGAGTGCCATGGCATCACAGCTC